AAAACAAAGATTTTTAGAAATTTTGACTCTTTTTTTAATCCCAGGTATCCATGCAAGTGGAAAAAGAAGCACAAGTAATATAATTCTGCAATTCTCTAATGCTCAAAAGTTAAACAGCCACTTGGGCAATTTTTCTGCTCTATCTACTGGCCACATCAGGTCAGAAACCTCAGGTCATTTTTTGACAAAGGCTTTGTATATACTAGCACTTGAATGTATATTTTGATATACTCTCATCTAAAGATGTGAGTGTCTGATCCAAAGATTATTACAGTTATTAATTCTGGGTAGGAAATTCTAGTGCAAATAACTTTGTGTGTGTTATTTTGGATACAGGAGCAAAAATATACAAAATCTGGGTAAATATTTTCTTTCTGCATTTGACTGAGAGTTAAGCTCTGGCTCTCCCATCTGGGGTACCATTTCTGGCTCTCCTCCCATTGTGGGGTGCCATTTCTGACGGTTTAAGGTGGATAGGGAGCAGGGAACTACAGCACCAGGGGTTTCTTCAGGTCCTGGATGCTGGAGGGGAGAGCTGCTCCCCCCTCCCCCCACCACGAGGTCCCAAGGCAGCCACAGAGACAGCACACTGGGTGCAGAGAGGAGGCGAGAGAGAGTTTATTGTTGGGGGTGTTACATTTATAGGTCTTGGAGGATTCACAGATTAACCAATTACAGGCTCAGGGTCTTACAGGAAACACCAATCGCAGGAAGGGGTTAACAACCAATAGGAAGGGGTTAACAAAGTCCAATGAGAAGACTTCTTGATGTCTTCTCAGGACATTCCTGAGACAGAGATAACACTTGCCGTGGGGGGTCTTGGGAAGAAGAAAGCATGAGTTAGCAAAGAGACTACAAAAAGCCATTTTGAGACATGTTTAAACAACAGTTTCTCATATAATGCAGATTTACTGCTACATTAAGCAGGTGAGTTTTTCCACTTTTGAAGAAAGGTAAGCTTCATGTCAATTGCAGAATATTTTATTTTTGACTGTTATAAGCATGAATATTGTCTAGATGATTGAGCTATAAGGATAGTGTTAATTAGTGCACATCTACATTTTCAATGACAACTTTCTTTTCCTACACAGTCCCTAGTCACTCAGTGTGCTAATTTCAGCTGGGATAGAGTTAATTTTCTTCACAGTAACAAGTATGGGGCTATGTTTTGGATTTGTGATGGGAACTGTGTTGATAACACAGAGATGTTTTACCTATTGCTGAGCAGTACTTAATTGGAGTCCGACTTTTTCTGCTTCTCACACCACCTCACCATAGAGTAGGCTGGAGAGGCGCAAGAAGCTGAGAAGGGGCACAGCTGGAATATTTGACCTCAAATGAACAAAGGAATATTCCATGCCATGTGGCATCATGCTCAGTATAAAAAACTGAGGGAAGAAGAAGAGGGAGTGATGGCATTTGTCTTTCCGAGTCACTGTCATGAGTGATAGAGCCCTGCTTTCCTGGGAATGGCTGAACACTTGCCTGCCCATGGGAAGCGGTGAATGGATTGTTTCGCTTTGCTTCTTTGTGTACTATTAAACTGTCTTTATCTCAATCCACAACTTTTCTCACATTTTACTTTTCCAACTCTGTCCCCCATCCCACCAGGGTGAAGTGAGCAAGCAGCTGCGTGGGGCTTGGTTGGCAGCTGGGGTTGAACCATGACACTCAGGGAAGTTATTCAGACTACAGAAAAGTAGTTGCTTTGTCCCTTCATGCAGAAATACTAGGGAGGGAGAAGTGCTTTGCATCCGAGAGCCCCCTCACTCCCTGGTGCTTCTTTCACGACTGAAGATGCAGTAAGAATATAATGAGCACCAAATGTGGAATAAAAGAGTTAATCCATTTTCCACTGTCTCTTCTGATGAAAATATATAGATACATGTATTCTAGCATGTTGTATTTTTATACTGATTTTGAAATTACTTTTTTTCACTTATATTATTGTGTTTATCCTCAACTGTTAAAATGGAAGTAAAAACCTTTAAGAATCCTCCTATGCAATTTTTGTACATATTAAATAAGAGGGAAAGACAAACTTATTTTTAACAATATCTTGAAAATCACTTTTAAAAGCACTTGGTTTTTGTATTTTAAACTCTTTCATTTTAGTTACTTTTATGTTAGCCATTACCTGTGCATCCAGCAAAATATGTGCAATAGAAGCCTTAATGTAGACATATGGCAAAGGAAATAAAATACTGTCTTTACCCCTGCCTGATAAATACCACCATAATATTGCTATTTATTGTCAAAGAAGAAGTATTCCTCCTGCATGGGTTTTCTTTTCCAGTTGTGGACCACTTGTAGGTTTCATGGACCTCTTGCCATTCCGAGAACATTGACAATGATTTTCATCAAGGAAAATGAAATGAAGAACTGATATTTCTCACATTAAAAAAATTAAATAATCTTTCTAAGGCTATTTTAATATGTCTTATGAAGGAACAGTTGATAATATAAATGTATGTTTCATTTGTGGTTTATAACTATATATAATCTTTTGCTGAGCTGAAGGGTAATTAAGCTGGCATCAAGTAAAACTTTTACTAAAGGTCAGACTATCTAGTCTGCCATGCTGGTCAATGGTGTTTACTTCAAAAAAATATAGGGCCAAGTGAGGAAACATAGTGATGAGGAAGTGTATATCATGCATGTGCCTTTTTAATTTGTACACATTAAAAAGACATTGTTGTTTTCAAAAGGTCATCTCTGTTCCTCTGAAGCATTTACCTTACTAGATGAAAGCTGATTTAGTGTTAAGTTTGCCATGTCTTAATTTTGGGAGTGTAAGTAACCTATTTGTTTTTTTGGGCATGTAATTTTCTTCTAAAAATCTTGTTTGGAATATCCTTTTGTTTCTCTGTAGTAATTCTACTGTTACATACATAAAGTGTTTGGTCTAAATTATATCTCATATTCCTCAAATGAGCAATGTGTGTTTTAAATAAAGAACCTCACACAAGAAGAATGGAATGTGATTCAATTTACCTTTAAAAATATTATTTGTTGTTTTTTCTGGCATAAATCTCAGTTTGCTCCAGGGTAGAGTCATGGATTATTCAAAGTGCATCTTATCTTGGAGAAAAACCTAAATTTGCACCAGGAAAATCTATTCTCTATAAAGACAATAACAGCCAAATACACTATTAATTACCTTTTTATTGTGACAGTTCTCTTCAGGGAAAAAAAAAAAAGTAAAACCAAAATAAAACCCTCACACACTTAAGATTCAGGGATTTAAATATTTTTAATTGTCTTGCAGATCAAACCCATGACTAGACTCAGCTATTGAAGTCTCATTCGGTGCTAGGTGCTTATGCACTGTCACTGTCTAGACACGGCTCTTGAGAGGAGCTGGGAGTCACTTCCCTGAGCAGAGCACATGTGGGGATGCTGTTGCTGCTCGGAGACCCAGTCTTGCTTCCTTCCTAAATGCTCTGTGGTCTCTCAGCCTAATTGTACTTGAAGCAGTGAAACTGATGTGTTCCATGTGACATGTGCAGGGAACTAATTGAATTTTTTTGATGAAATTTCTCCAAGTACTGAACAGATATGCAGGGATTTATTTTCTTCCTTTCTTTCTTTTTAACATTTAATAACTCGCAATCATTGTCATTTTTCTTGGCTTTGAGCATCTAATGTTAAAATTCCACTGCGGCTATTTGGCTAACAGCTAAGAAGTCTAAAATTAATGTGTGACCTTGACATTCAGAGACCTACTGCAAATGCAGATGAAAGGGTTGGAAGAATATATCCCCAGCCTTTTTCCTTGTTTCTTTTTTTTTTTTCAATAATACATACAGGGTTTCTATTCACTGAGAGTCAGAAAGAGATGACAGCTTTCTTTTCCAGGTTTCTACAATAACATTAAGTAAGTAAAGGCAGCAACAGTAGTAAGTGTAACAGTATTAAGAAGAGGACAAATTAATTGTTGAAATTGCATTGATTGTTGAAATCAGCCTCTCCATTGCTAGTATTATGTTTTTTGGCAAACACTGTAACCGCTTGCCAACTATTTAATCACAGTCAGAAATACAGCTCAAATAGTACTCAAACTAGTTTGGAAAACTGAAAAGGAATTACATGTGGGTGTATTTGTTGGGAGCAGGCAGTAGAGAATGACAGAGACTGAGAGAGAAAGGATATTTGGGTAGAGTTCTCCCAAATTTTCCCAAGAAGAGTTCAGGAGGGAAAGGGATGAGACAGGACAAGGTGAGCATGGCATGGAAAAGGACAACCAGGGACATACCTTTTAAAGGCCAAATGCATGCTCGAAATGAAACGTGTGTTTGTGTGTGAGTGTGTGTGTGATATCTGCCCTTCATGAAAACAAGGGCAATAAATGTCCCTGCCTCTCATGCTGTCTCATAGGTTGTCTACATACTTTCCCAAGGAAACCGGGGTCAGAATTTTTGCATACCTTTTCTCTTACTAGGAACAAGACCTGATAGATCCTTTGCCACTGCAATTATCCAAAGTTCTCTCCCTTCTCCTTGTCTGACCTGAGAGGGTTCACTGGTTCCTTCTCTGTTCAGGCAGAGAGGCATGTGGAGAAGAAAGGGAGGACAGAAAGGGAGGACTGAACGTTTCCACTGACCCTTGGGTGTTCTCTGGGAGCAGAGATTGTAGGATCTGGGGTCTCTGGTACACTGAAATTGCCTGACTGTTCCTCTCTGTTACCACAGTAATGATATCTATGACATAGGTTTATGATGTAAACAACCACCAAGCTTCACTGTGGTAGCTACTAAGAGCTGACAGGATCACAGATTGTAAGCACCTGGCCTCAGATAAGGGAGGATGAGGATCCACCACAGTGAATGTAGCCCTTTACACCTCTCAGTTCTGTATTGTCTTCTCCCTGTATTCATCCCCACGAAGTGTTTTCATTAATGAGAATCTCCTGATGAGAAGATTGGAGCATTTAACACCTACCCAAGAAGTGTTGATTTCTTTCAGACTAGATGCTCTGCAGTAGTACATAAGCACTTTGATTGCCTTAAAATTGGTATGACTCCTCAAGGTGCTGGAGAGAAGAGTGAGTTACTGGAATCTCCTCCCTTTCATTTTCGTTGTTGGAACCTTGCCTATCTTAACTGTCTGGAAAGGCTCAAGGTCCTGCGATGTAAATGGAATCTGTGTTAACAAAATCATTTGCCATGGAGCTCTCAGGATAAAGAGATTTTTGACCTTAACAGTTTAAAAGATAGTGAATCCTTTTGAGGAAAATTACAGCCTGTTGTTAATGTTAAGGACCAAGCACTTTATTTCCATGTGTCTTCACACTTGTACTTGAAAGGAGCTGTACTGAATTAATGATATACTAATGAGCTCTGTTTCATTAATATCACAAGTTAAAGAAAAAAATTGAGGGACTTTATCTAATCTCCCTGAAACCTGTCTAATCTAGGACAATCTGTCCTTGGTCTCCAAGTCTAGACAGAACTTTAGATAGTGATATTATGTGCTATTAGTGCTTAAAATCTTTGCAGCACTGATCCCTAAACCCTTGATGAAAGGACTTTTCCAAGACATCAACTTTGTGCATTGTCACGCCGTCAATGTTCCTCACCCTGTCACTGGCAGCGTGAGATCATGTGATTCTCACTCAGCTTTTCTGCTGATGGTCAGTCTTTCCTTTCTTTGGGAGAACAAGGAGAGATAGATATATAATCTTTCTTTTGATATGTCACAGGGCAGAAAGGTTCCAATCAAACTTCAGGTCTCCCCCAGGCCCAACAGCTCATGAAGCTAACATAGTTAAAGCAGATATATACCTTTGCCTTTGCTTCTGCATCTGCCCACTTGATAGTTTTTTTAACAGTTCATTACACAGGCCTTTCCAAGTCCTTTGGAGATGGTCCAAAGAAAGTCTGGGAAGACTCTTACTCCAATGTGCTTGTGCTGTATACAATACATAGTCATTCCTGCGTTCCCTGAACTTGATTGATTACAAGCCAAAGGGATGTACCTACTTGCCTCCAGCTAACTGATTTTTCTGAAAGTCAAGTTTGCTTTCATTATGTTAACACTTCCCTTGATAACAACATTAATTTCTAAAGTCAAGGAAAGCAAGACCTGAGATCTTCTCTTTTTTTCTCTCCAGCTTGTCAAGCTAACTGCTGGCAAAGTGAAGACATGTTGGTAACAGTGAAAACAGCGATGGGTAAGGAGTCAGAGGAGGAACCTGACAATGTGGTATGGTTTGATTTTTATTTTAAGAAGGGTAGATATAGGAGAAAACAACACGGAATTCATATGCCTGAGAAATAGTAGTTTTTAGAAGACATTTGAATTAATAATAAACCCTTTGTTCCAACAGGAACATGTAGGCTTCATAGGCACCTATGTGGTAGACTAGAGATTTTGCTACATATGACACTAGCATACTGACATACTGAAGCTAGGAACATTAAGTTAGGCAGTGAAAGATCTCCTCCAGCATCTCCATTCTGCCAGGGTAGTCTATTATGTAGCCTGAAAGAAAGGATTACCTTAAACACCTACTCTTATCAATGTTTTCTGCTTTGATGTGTCTTCTGTTTTAGCAGATCAGGTGTGCCTGATACAGTTTCCTGTTAGAAGTTATACGGTTGCTCTGACTAGATTTTTTTTTTTGCCAGTGAAGAGGAGATGAGATCAGCTACCAACTATGACTAAGTCTTGTAGCTGTCAAGAGATAAAAATAGAGTAATGTGTACATGCCTAAAGTAAAAATAAGGTACCAGTGTATATGACAAAGGTGAGTTGGTTCCACTGGCTGCTTTTCTCCAGGGTTATCCTATGTTATAAGTTGATGCAGATGGTTATTGAGCAGATTGGGGCCATTCAGCAACACCTAGCAGCAATATCTAGCAATATCTAGCATCTGTTCACCTAGCAATGTCAGAATAAGGGGGCAGTTGCCTCTAAAAGCCACTTACATACTAATCCACTCAACTGTTTTCTGCTTGTACATCTGGGGATGAGGCAGGATCAGACTCTAGCCATGACATCACATAATCCTCCTTCTGTAGTGACACCCTTGCATAATATAGAAGAATATTTGCAGTGTAAGGGTCATATGTCACAGCAGCACAGGGAGTCACAAGTGGCATGACTGTCAAGGAGTTTTTAAACCAGCGTGACTGGCATGGAGCCTTACACATATCTGTCATATGGCCTTGTAAGAGATTTGGAAAGCCCTAAGCAAGGCTGTTCCCAGATGTAAGGTCACCGTCGCACAACAATAGTGTCCCTGTGAGGTGCTCCAGGAGACAGTCATCACATTTGACCATTAGATTATCAAAGTGGATGTTGTAACAACATAGTGTTGAGTTTGAAAGGAAATTGTTTTCATATCTGAGCCAAGAAAAATTTTCCAGTAACAGCAGGAAGATTCAACTTGGATGCCTACAAAGTATTGCAAGTTAATAATGCTAGGCAGAGGGCCAGTGGAAATAGATGGTATTTGTTTTTAAAAAATATATTCATCCTTTTCCCTTACACTTTGCCTACTGTTTGTCTTTCTGGACTGCAAATGCTTCAGAGCAAAGCTGTGTGCCTGAGATAAGTCATATTACTTACTTAATCAATGCCCGCTAATGATAAATAGGAATCATATAAAACATTAAGACCTTTTTACCCATGTCTGCATCTGACTCTCAGTGAGGTACTGTACTTGTCGCTGCTACATCTGACCATATGTTCTGAGTGTAATCCCTTTAATGTCATCACAGCAGCAATACACCTGGGACATGAAAGGAAATCGCTGATGTCAGGGCTGGAGGCAAGAGACAGAGAAACCAAGGAAGTCAAGAGATATGTGAAACTAAAGGGTTTGTTGTAAAAATGGTCAAGAATGGTGAAGAAACAAGAAATCCACATAGCCAGAGGTGAACCCTGGGCCAAGGAACATGCAGAGACAGAGCAAAACTTTTCAAGCTTTGTAATAGTGAGATTCTACAACACACAACAAGCAGCAGACATAGTAATGAGATTCCCCTGTTGCCAATTGGTCCAACAAGCCAACTCTTAATCTTGGTTTTGGCCAAATGACTGGCTGCTGTTGAGTGATCTTGATGGATACAGCAGTGTCTATTGCACTCTGGCAAGACCAGGGGCCTATACAACGTTCCTCCCAGAAAACAGTAATGAGATATGCACCTCTTACACGTTCCTACATAACGATGATGCAGCAGGACGCTGATATATTTAAGAAGCCATTGGAAACAAGCAGTGTTTTGCAAGCATCTCACTGTAATAATAAACAGTGATCTGTCATTGTCATTTTACTGCATTTTTCCTTCTGAATCTCTAGAGGAATGTTACACTAGAGCATTCAGGTTTCATCAGCTTTGAATAAGTTGCTGTAGTTACTTCCTAGAAATGGCAAATATATACAAAATCACTTTTAAAAAAAATCAGTATTATCATAAAGATTCAAGCAGGAACGATTATACAAACTTCTAGTGCCCATATCATTCACAAGACCAGGCTACCACAATGAATCTGAAAATCTGTGAAGCAATTTTTTTCCTCATTATTATTCTTCACTTTCCAGTTTTAAGCCCATTCAGTTTCATTAGTATTCCTTCACTGTGCTGTCAGTCTGCATTATGGTAGGAGTTTGGAAGACCTTCAATAAAAGAATACTTGACTGTGCTACAATCCTCACCCATTGTAGCTCCATTCAGTGCCCAGCAGAATGAATTTCAAAATGCCTGCATGTTGCAGGTAACTAACTTTTAATGAATCTTAGGATACAAGTCTAAACAGATGACTGCTTTCTGATCTGCTATGGAAACAATATGTTTCAATTCAGGTTTAATGAAATTTTCACTCCTTGTACAAAAATGCAGGGTGATTAACAGCTGACAAACCTACTGTAATAATTTCTGATTAAATGCTTTTGTTTACTGTTTTCAGTCACTCTCTACAGGGAATTAACTACTGGAAATGAAAAAAATGAAAGTTCATGCCAGTTAATATCCTTGAGAAAGTGAAAGGTAATCAACTATATAAATTACAGTGGCATATGCAGGCCAGCTTGTGGTCAAAATTTGTACAACATACCCCAGCCAGTTTTTGAGATGGTTATACTGAAACATGTGTGTTGAAGATCTGTTGCAAGTAGCTGCTCCATAGTTTTAGGTAATCAGTGAGTAGCTGTATTCAGAAGAAGGTGCCATTGTAACTTTTCTTCACTTTATTTTTTTTTTAATGACATTTACCTATTTACAGTGGCCTGTAGCTTCAAAGAATAGGTTTACATGATTCTTTAATATGGCAAATTGTTCTTTAAATAGTCAAATCACCTTCTGAGGACCAATCTACATGGAAATATACATGAGAACCATCCATCAGGCTGCAGTAGGCACTGATCTAACCCCATTTAGCCCTACTGAGACCGTTACAGATAAATTGGTATAACAGGTACTCCAACAAATGTTCCCACACAGACTTTGTATAAAACTAGTGAAAAAGGAGAAAATTAATGCCTTTTTATTGTCCATTGGTCTCAAAGAGGTGTTAGTTGGAAAATTTACCTGGGAAAATTTATTTGCAAACCACCACACCTTAGCTGAAGTCTGTGAATCTGCTCCACTGAGTTGATTGCATTAACCTGTGTCAGTTAACAGCTTTGTAAATGTTAATCTAGATACTTTATTTCAAGATACTTTCATCTCAACAAAAATGTTTGTGTTCTTCTGTAGGGAACATGTCCCGAGGTGCAACAGGAAGGCACCGAAGCTAGGGGACATGCGCAGAGATAGACAATCCTATTGGTTAGAAGTCACGTGTTATTGGGGTATAAATGAGGGCGCCGAATTCAAATAAAGCCTCTTTGTCTACCATCTCACAGGGAGTGTACATGATTTCTTTATTGTATAAAGGCAGCGTGCCAAGTGGCACGCTACATTCTTCTCCAGGTCTAAGCTATTGGCTATCAATTAACTTGAATTTTCGCAGCCAGGAGTGCAGTACTGTGCAAAGCGCAGTGATTTTTCCCTGAAGAAAATCAGTCCGAGTCATTTGATGCCTTATCACAATGTTTGAAGTGTCTTCCATCTCAGTTTGTTTCCAGTGCCACGTAAACTTTGTACTGGCCATCTGCAAGAGCTGGGAGAACTTCATGTGCACCTCTGATAATTTCGTGTTTGTACAGGGATTCTTTATGACTTTCTAATATTGCCTTGATAATCATCATTTATGATGCTCAGTTGTCAGTAGGCTTCAGCCAAACTAATCTGTTCATTGGAGAAGACTTACTATAGGAGTTTGAAATATTAATAAATTATATAGTCATATATATGAACTTGTGCTACGCAAAATTTCCATTAAAGAAATTCAAAGTTTTCCAGAAGAACAGAAAAATTGGTCAGAAAAGCAAATAATTTCAGGTCTCTTAATAGCTTGGCTAAATGTTAAGTGATGTCAACAATATTACTTTGCTCTGTAAATGACAAAGCTTTACTATACGGTGGCAGTAAGATGTAGACAAAGGGTTCATATCATATATATATATATATTTGCATAATCAGTCAATGAAGTTTCTAAAGGACTGTGAAAACTGGGTGAAAAGGACCATTGGCATCAGTGCAGTTTTTGCCATACGGACCTTAGCTTTTAAAACAATATTAAATAATAAGAATGTAACTTAGTGTGTATTATCTGTTCTGCAACTATGACTTACACATGTTCCCCCATCACCTATATGGGTAGGAGTTTGTTGCAGACCATAAAAGGAGTTGGATCGTGCCCTTAGTTGGTGACATGAAAAGTCTGTTCAGCAGAGGAAAAGAGAGGCATCAATTATTAACAACATTGTTATGAACCCTTTTTCACACCAACAGGCAATTACATGAGAAAAAAAGACATTTAGTGAGTAACTACTCTTTGTGGTATTATCAAAAATTCCACCTAGGACTCAGGTTTTGATATAATTTTTATGCTTTACTTTTCTTTCAAGTTACCTTGCCCTTGCTTTCCAAATAACTCATTTGCTATCTTACATAGGGGTGCGGCTATGACTTCCGAAGGGCAGAAGGGGAATTTTTGGACAAGAACTGCAGAATTGGATCCTATGCCATCAAGAACATATTGGCTAGGAGCTGTCAGGAAAATTATGATCCTCAGCTGTTAGAGCTACTTGAGTGGATCACCTCAACAACCACTAGACTGGGGAATGGTGTATCTTCAAAATGCATTCAAAATTCATGGTTTACATAGGGACTGACCAAGATTTCCAAGATCAGTTGCTGAAGTTTTCATTTAAGTATATTAGAATTCTACATATTAAACTATGAGTATTGGTAAAAGTATCCTAGAGACGACAGTGGGGCTCATGACTACTGAAGAGACTCAAAATGACAGAGAAATAGGGAAATTATAGGTCTTGAGCTAAAACATTAAATGCAATTATGATATCTCAACTCATTTACATTTCTTTTTCTCACTACAACTTATCTTTTCTTCATGCATATCAGTAATGTGTTTTGATTGATTAACAATTCTAAAATCTTTAATGTATTTTCTCATTTGCAAATGTACCTGTGAAACTGGTTAAAAAGCAGGGCATACTGTTGAAATGTGTAAAAATAGTCATGAATTAAGTTCTGACCTGTGTAAGATTCTAACTGACCTGAGTTCTTTCACTTCATCAGTAGTTGAGGTACTGCATACCTTTCAAGCAACTGCTCAGCACCTCATTTAAAGAAAAACCTTTTAAAAGAATTTGCACATAAGGTTAAAAATAGCAGGATTTGTCAATATTCCTTGGAAATTCTTTGTTGCAGATTCTTTGTTTTCAAATAGAAAGTGGGGGGTGTATATTTGATGGTCCTACCTAGAGCAAATTTTGTTATTACACATATCCTTTCTTCAGCAGTAACATCTCTCTTCCACCATGCCCCAGACCCACGTGGTTGTGCACATTCCCTCAGTTACACTGGGTTTCTATCAGACAGATGAATTTATTGATCTCAATATCAGTGCACCAGCAAA